ATGTACAATCGAGATCGTGTGTGGAAGTACAATTGAAGTCAAGAGTGTCAAATTTCAGCATAAATATATCTTGCTACATATTACCCGTCATCGTGAACTCACTACCCGCAGTAACCTCCCCAGTGGATGGTTGGAATATACCAGAAGATCTAGCCAACGGCTTGGCGGACCCGGCGTTCTTTGAGGCAGGGTCAATAGACTTGCTCATTGGAGGAGGCTCGTTTTTTGATCTTTTGGACCCAAAACGAGTTCATTTAGGAGTGGATACATTGTGTCTGCAAGGTAGCAAATTCAGATGGATAGTGACGGGTGAAATTGGCGTCATTTCACTCCCGAGCATCGCATCGCACTGGAGAGCGTTGAAGGATAAAGAAGATAATTTATACGGACGACATTCGAAGATAAATCTAAAACTATTGGAAGAGAAGCAGACCGTTGAGCATTTCAAGGAGAACACAAAGAGAGGGACGGACGGTCGCTTCATCGTAAGATTACCATTGAAACCCTTAGTAGAAGAGCTCGGTGACACGTTGAAGCTCGCAACCACTCGCTTCATAAGCGTAGAAAGGAGGCTACTGCGGGATGAGAAGCTTCAAAAGGTATACACTAGATTCATAGAGGAATACCTTGACCTTGGGCACATGGAAGAGGTAATTGATGAAGACCAAATACCTAAGCGATCGTCCTACCTACCTCACCATGCCGTGATAAAGGAATCAAGCCTAACCACCAAGGTCCGCGTTGTATTCGATGCGTCTGCGAAGAGTTCGACTGGTGTCGCGGTCAATCATGTGTTGATGTGTGGACCAAATGTCCAAGAGGACGTCTTCTCCATATTAGCCAGATTCAGGAAGCATCAATACGTGTTGACATCAGACATCGAAAAAATGTTTCGACAGGTAGCAGTTGCAAAAACGGATTGGGATCTTCAGCGCATTGTGTGGAGAGCCAAACCCAGTGATCCTTTGCGCACATTTCGACTCACAACTGTAACTTATACATCGGCCTCATTTCTTGCAACTCAGTGCCTAGCAGCCTTGGCAGAAAATGTAAAGGAGCTTTATCCTAATGCAGCTCGGATAATTAGAAAAGATTTTTACATGGATGACATCATGTCAGGGGCTGATACAGAAGAGGAATGTTTGAAGCTACAACAAGAAATAAGTGATATTTTGAACTCCGCCAAACTCAGATTGCGAAAATGGTGTTCAAATTCTGTAAGGGTGTTAGAGAATATAGACAAGGTCGAGGACGATCCACTTTTTACTTTAGAAATTAAAGATGGAAATACGGTGAAGTCTCTGGGGTTAGGTTGGAAACCGTTAGCAGATCAGTTTCACTTCAACATCTCTATAGACCCGTCGTTAAACAAGTGCACAAAGAGAACATTGCTATCGGATTTGAATCGTGTGTTTGATCCACTTGGATTCTTATACCCTGTTTTACTAAGAGGAAAAATGTTTTTACAGCAAATATGGTCGATGAAATTAGATTGGGATACGCAACTTTCTTCTGACATTCAAGGAAGGTGGAAATCATTCATTCGTGAATTTCAGGATCTCAAATGTTTATCAATTCCAAGGAAGGTGAAGCCGTTGTCGAATCATCCTCCCGAAATACATGGGTTTTGCGATGCCTCCCAGGAGGCATATGGGGCTTGCATCTATATCAGGACGAGAGATAATCAAGGAAGGTGGAATTCTCAGCTTCTTTGTGCAAAGACAAGAGTGGCACCTCTGAAGGAATTGACCATACCCCGACTAGAATTAAGTGGAGCATTGCTGCTAGTCGAATTAGCAAACAAGGTTGCCGAGTCATGGTCTGTGGAACTATGTACATTCCAACTGTGGACAGACTCATCAATAGTATTAGGGTGGCTGAAAAACGTTTGTATCCAATCGAATCAAACAAATTCTAGAGCTTACCGACCAAAAACAATGGCACCATGTTAGGAGCGAGGATAATCCAGCCGATGTGGCATCAAGAGGATTAAGGCCGACAGAAATATTATCTTGCGCTAAGTGGTGGAATGGACCTAGTTGGCTGGTAACAGAGGGACACAATTGGAAATCCGAACCTGAATCAATTGTTAAAGAAGAAGAACTGCCAGAGATAAGACCAATTCGACTTGCATTAATAACGACCGACATAACCAGCGATTTGCTACCTTTATACTCAGATTGGATTAAGCTTGTCCGCGCAATCGCTTGGTTAGGAAAATTCATAGAGTTTAAGCGAGCCAAGAAGACAGGAAGCAGTTTGCCACGATACCTTACAGTATCAAATATCCGTTTAGCAGAACGTAGACTAATAAAAGGAGCGCAAGCCGAAGAGTTTGGAATAGACCTCATGAACCTCCTAGCAGGAAAGTCAATTCAGAAAAGAAGTGTTCTGAGAACTTTGTGTCCGTTTATTAGTGAAGATGGAGTAATTTTGGTTGGAGGGCGACTTGGGAATTCCGATATTGCTGAGACCCAAAAGCACCCAATTGTATTACCTTCAAGGCACAAAGTAACAAGACTAATCTTTGAGGAGCAACATAGAGCCATGCATCACTGTGGTCCACAGGCTCTCTTGGCCGCTGTCCGGCAACGTTATTGGCCACTACGAGGTAGAGTAATGGCACGGTCGGTGACATCTCGCTGCGTCACCTGTATTCGATCAAGGCCACAATTCGAGAACCCAGTAATGGCACCCTTGCCTAAGAATCGAGTGCAATTTTCAAGACCATTCACAATAACAGGTGTTGATTTCGCAGGACCCTTACTCATCCGAAGTGGCATACGTAGAGCGATAAAAACTTGGATAGCAGTGTTTGTATGCTTTGCAACCAGAGCAATTCACCTAGAGACGGTAGTTGGGCTCACAAGCGACGCATTCATGGCATCGTTGCGACGCTTCATGTCCAGACGTGGGAAATGTAAGATGATATACAGTGATAACGGAACAAATTTCGTGGCACACAAAAGGAGTTGTCCAACTACGTGAAGAACACTGAAGATCTCATGGCACGGGAAGGAGTAGAATGGCATTTCAACCCACCATCAGCCCCTCATTTCGGTGGCTTATGGGAGAGCGCCGTAAAAAGCGTAAAAACGCATTTAGTTCGGGTCGTCAAGGATACACGGCTCAATCTCGAAGAGCTACAAACTCTACTATGCCAAATCTAAGTGTGTGTCAATTTTCGGCCTATGACTCCATTGAATAGCGACCCATGTGAACCAAACGCCCTTTCACCAGCACACTTCCTAGTGGGGGGTCCACTACTACTACCAGGCGTGAGTACCAGCCGAACCACAGATACCACAAAATGAAGTAGCACACTTGAAGCGTTGGAAATTTGTACAAGGTCTAATGCAGATGTTTTGGAGAAGATGGTATAGTGAGTATTTGCCGCAACTTCAAGTTAGAGGACGGTGGTTGAGCTCAAAAAGGGAAATATCCATAAATTACGTGGTAATAATAAAAGAAGATTGTACTCCACCGACCAAATGGAAGTTGGGAAGAGTAACCAAGGTACATCCCGGAGGCGATGGTATCATTCGTGTAGTGACCCTACGTACCACTACTGGAGCTGAAATGCAAAGACCTGTCGGTAAATTGTGTCGGCTCCCACTAGAACAAGAAGTTGAAACTTTATAATTTTCAACGGGGGGAGGATGTCGCCGCCGTATCACCAGATAATTCGCCCGACTCACACACACACATGCAATCAAATACCTATTACCTGCTTGTCCCTATATATTTATATTATTGTTTTTATTTCTGTTTTAATTGTCCGTATCAGCTGTGAATTATTATATAATATGTAAATTATCGTCGCGCCGGCTACGTGTTTATTATTGCTATAAGAGCACGGCCGCCTATCCCACCAGTTCGCTACAAACGGCCAATGGGATATATTGATTGTTCGCAGGCAAATATCGTCCGTAGATTTTATTTTATACTTTTTTGGCTCAAATAGCCGTAAATTGTTATACCTTCTGAGGGCGTTAATCGCCACTTGTTAGGTATTATTGTGAGTTGTAAGGTGCGAATCACCAAAAAATAAATTATTTGCAAACCATTATCCATTATCGCGTAACCATTATCGCGTAACCAAAAACGTTATTGTTTCGTGTGCGTCAAGTGCCGCGACCACTATTATTGTTTTTGTGAGCGCGAATCGCTAGAAAATTATATTTTTTATATTGCCGGTTATACTACTACCTATTGTTGTAACGTGTGCGCTAATCGCTACGGATTGTAGTTGCATTTTTGTAAGTTGGAGCCGATCTCCGTGAGCGATTATTATATTTGTTATTATTATAGGATAGGTGCAGCTGGCCAGCCGTGCACCGCCCAAATTGTGAGTTTTTATTTTTTATTATTTATTATTAAAAGATTATTATTTATTATTAGAAGGGCCACATATTATTTTTAGATCATTTTTACCTTGCGGTTGCTGTGAATTATATTTTATTTTGTGTATTATTTAAATTTTGTATTATACAGCAACTAGTTAGTTACCAGCAACCAATTGTTACCATTTTTTTTCTTGAGTTACCCTTGTCATTAATTATTGTTAAGTCTACACCCACACCTACATACACACCTACGCACCCCACCTACATTCCAGCACTCACAGGTTTTGCTCGGCGAACCTGTCCAATTTCTGTTGAGTGCTAAAACACATATACACACATAACACACAGGTCGGTCGGTGAGTAGTGGTGTAACGGCGCACGAAGTATTTTGGTACTGAGCGCACGGGCTAATTATTGTTCGTACTCGGCCGCAACATATATTATATGGGGTATGGTAGGTTTCTACTTTATAAATATGTTCCTAGAATAGAACTAATTTTTCTATGAATACTTTCCTTTCTTTAAACATTATACTTATAGTTATAGATACTTTTGTAATTAGTTCACAATAGTATAGTATATTCACATTAGTCTGTTAAATTGACATAAAACAATCATATATTAATCTCATAAAAAATCAAACATATAGTTACCTTAATCTGTAAATAGTCTGTTTACAATATTTTGACGGAAACGAATACCGGCTACAAGTTCTGGATTTTGCCTATTTTGTGTCATTTCTTCATTGTCATTTACTTGGTACATTCCAAAATCATCCTCTTCAACATCTTTTTCAATTAATGGAATGTTTTCTACAATACACAAATTGTGTAACACAACACAAGCCAACACTATTTTTGAAGCCTTGGTAGGCGAATAATGTAGTGTTCGATCTTTGAGAAGGCAGCTTCAAATAATTAAATCAAAATATTTGGTTATAATAATTATAAAAGCAAGTTTGAATGAGAGTATATAGGTTATATAGGTTTTGTAGCTTACCGAAAACGCATTTTTAAAACTCCGTTACAGCGTTCAATAGTAGACCTTGCACGGCAAAAACCTCATTGAACCGGTATTCTGGTGTATTAACTTCAACATTAAGAAATGGTGTTAACAACCATAGCATATCCAGAGTCTCCTTCGGGTAACATAAAAGAATTGTTAAATTAAAAATGTTAATAATATTGCAGGTTGTGCATTGTTACCTAACAAAAAATATGAGTTAAAACCTCCATCATGCAAGCTCGACATGAAAGTTTTCACGCCACTTTCATTCCATATGTGAGAGTCATGGGTGGACCCTGGCCACCTGGCTGACACATTTAGAATTCTTAAATTTACATCACATATCTAAAAAAAAAATACAGTTATAGTTCATACAAATAATATTTAATTAGGAATTAAGAATTTAATGTTATATTTTTAATAATACTAACAAGTTGAGTGTTAATTGAATGATAGCCCTTACGATTGACATAGATATGCTCTGGATAAAACTCATCATTTTTCTTTGGTGGTGTTATAGCAATATGAGTGCAATCAATAACACCAACAACGTATTGTAAGCCATACTTGGCAAAGAAACTAATAAATCAATATTTATTTCAATGAAACATCAATAGTTTAAATATTAAGCTAAGAATTTTGAGGTATACCTTGTACGCACACTATCAAGCTCATTGAAATTGCTTGGAAAATTAACAAATTGATTAAATATAACCGGATTAAAAAACGCATTTGACACTTCTTCAATAATTCTGCTAACTGAAGGTTGAGATACAGTTGCATGTCGATTTTCACCAACATCCATCTGATAACTTCCAGCAACAAAAAATCTTAAAGCAACAATAACCTACAATAATATGTAAAATATTTGTATAATTTATTTAATATGTAATTTATATATTAGTATAAAAATTTCATAATTGTAACTATTTTTGTCTAACTATATGTAAGTACTTCTAATGTATTATATTTAATTATTTAATTTTTTAGTTAGTTTAATAATAATTATAGTATTGTGAAGCCACATCAAAAAGTTTTGAAATAAAACACATTAGGGCAATATTTTTTTTTTAAGTTTTAGGAGTTGCATATTGTTCTGTATTCTCTCGATTTATAGCAGACCAAGGAAGAAATCGTAAGTTGATCTTAAAAAATTTAAATGCATGCATTTTTCCTTAATTTTAGGAGAAAATTGTATATATATTGTTGATTATCATCGATTTTCATACATAATATTTTCAAAACAAATAAGCAATAGAAGGTTAATTTTTTTCTTCCTTAACCTATGTATTTTTAATGATTGAAAATGAAACTTAATATTATCTAACATGGTTATTTATTGTTTTTATACACATTAAAAACAATAATAACGACATATGTTTTTGAATAAAAATTGTTTGCATGTTTATTACACTTTTAATGCATATTTCGCCTTTTTAGTTTCTATTACTTCCAAGACCTAATATTTCTATAATGTTATTAATTTGATATAGGTCCTTACTTTGCGTTCAATACTGATTCCTCTCGATGTAGATGGTGCGTACATAAAAGGTGTTAGCAGAGTTACAACTCTCTTGGCCAAATCTTTGGACAGTCGATACCGTTTAATAAAATTACGGTCCGACAAATCTAAGAAAATAAAATAATATTCACTAGGTTCATGCCTACAGTAATGACATAATATATTTTACGAATAACATGATGAATATGATATTTGAGGTGAAACCTTTTGAATTGTCTAAGGTGATGGTTGTTGTAGTGGGAATTGGAAAAGTTATGTACCTACGTCACAATTTTTTTTTATGGGCTGGCGGTGAGTAACAAAATTTGGATACATATTATGTTCACCATGATATTGATATTTACAGTAATAAGTATAAATTATATCTTACATGCTTATTAGACACGAGGTAGCTCAGCCTGACTTACACATGTACGATAAACTATTTTTTTTTCAAATTGTACACGCACAATATAGGTACCTATTGCTATAGATTGTGCGATACCATTTTAGAGAAATATACTGTCATCTTTCACCTAGGTATCATATATTCCTATGAAAGTATGACTCAACCAGATCGTGTGAATCAGTTCAAAAAGTTTCTAACTTACCTATAAATCATGGTCATTGGACGATCGGAATCGATGGGCCCATGAAAATAAAGTTTGTTTTAATTGCCTCAGCGGTAATCATTTTATCCGCGCCTGTTCGTCCAAGTCGCGATGTCACCAGTGTTCGAAAAAACATCACACGTTGTTACATGGTGTTACTCCCAACCGTCAAGAGGAAGGCGGTGAAAGTGGGGGGGAAACACCGTCGTGTTGCGCGGCCGCGTTGGCACCGCGCGCGAGTGCGATACCAACGGTTTTGTTAGGCACTGCGTTGATTCACGCTCGCGACAGGGCCGGTACGTGGCAAACAGTTCGCGCGTTGGTCGACTCCGCGTCCCAGATAAGTGCCATGACAGTCGAGTGTTCCACCCGCTTAGGATTCCGGCCCCGTCCGTGGACCATGCCAGTCAGTGGCATATCCGGTACACCTGTCGTCAGCGTGAAGGGCATCGTCGAATGTCACATCCGGCCGCGTTTTGCGTCCGAACCATCGCTGACTGTGCAAGCGTGGGTGCTGCCTTCAATCACTAGCGACATGCCGCGCACCTCAATCCCCGTCGACATTAAGGACCGATTTTCCACCCTCGCGCTCGCCGATCCGCAGTTCAACGTCGCGTCACCGGTCGACATGTTACTCGGGGCTGACGTGTTTTCCGCGATATTGGATGGTCGTCAAATCAAAATCGACGAGGCACTGCCCACGGCATTCAGTTCGATTTTCGGTTGGGTCCTCATTGGACCACTTCCAGCGACCGCCACTTGTCATGTCCTCACCACACCGGTGTCATTAGCGACATCCATCGAGACTCTAATGGACAAGTTTTGGTCAGTCGAAGAACCGGACGCTGCACCTCCTTCCTTCACCGACGACGGTTGGTGTGAGAATCACTTCCGCGCCGAACACACACGTTTACCGTCTGGGCGATTTCAAGTGCCGCTGCCGACGCGTAAGCCGGTATCCGAGTTGTCATTCCCGGGTTCGCGTTCCGTCGCGCTAAAACGTTTTGAGTCGCTCGAACGTAAGTTGATGTCTAACCCGACTTTGCGCGTGGCATATTGTGCCTTTATGTCTGAATACTTGTCGCTCGGCCATATGTCCGTGGCAGCGACACCGGGGCGATATGTCATCCCCCACCATGCCGTATGTAACCAGTCCAACGGAGACTTAAAAATCCGCGTTGTGTTCGACGCTTCGGCAGTGTCCCATGACGGGACGTCACTAAACGGCTGTCTTATGCAAGGTCCGAAGTTGCAGCAAGACATCGTCGACATTCTAACCAGGTTCCGGGTGAACAAGTACGCGTTCACCACTGACATCTGCAAAATGTACCGGCAGGTGATGGTGGCGCCCGAGTACCGGCCGCTGCAACACATCCTATGGCGTGCGTCACCTCACGACCAGCTTGTCGAATACGAATTAAACACCGTGACGTATGGCCTGAACTGCGCTCCGTTCTCCGCACTCCGCGTGCTGGCTGCGATCGCCGAGGTGGATTGCGTCGGTCATGAGGGAGTACGGCAGGCGTTGCTGCACCAAACCTATGTCGACGACATATGTACGGGGGGCGACACAATCGACGATGTTTGTACGCTCCAAAGGGAGATGATCGCGGTGCTCGGCAACTCCGGTCTGGAGTTGAAGAAGTGGTCGAGTAACTGTCCCGCGATCCTCGAAAGTGTACCCGCGTCCGACTGTGTGACCGGTCCTTTATCGTTCGATGCTGTGGATGGGATCGGGGTCAAGGTTCTCGGCTTGCAATGGCAGCCGACAGATGACGTTTTTAGGTGTGCCCTCCGGTGCGATGCGCCACCCGTATTCACCAAACGCGGCGTCTTATCATTAATCGCGCGCATTTTCGATCCGTTGGGCATATTCGCGCCGGCCACTTTCTACGCGAAGCACATAATGCAACGGACGTGGTCATGCAACCTTGGCTGGGATGACCCTCTTCCGAAGGATCTCCATCAAGAATGGTCCACTTTCGTTGAATCATTGGCCTGCCTCCTTCAGATTAACATTCCGCGACACTTCAACACGCAGTCCGCCGACCGTTGTTTATTGTTGGGATTTTGTGATGCGTCACAGCATGGTTGCGCAGCTGTCGTATACCTCCGCGTGTTGGACGACCGGGAGGACGTTTCGATTTCGTTGGTCGGCGCAAAAACCAAGCTAGCGCCGATAAAATCATTGACCATCCCGCGGCTCGAGTTGAACGCCGCTGAGTTGTTGGCGCGTTGGTTATACCGCGTCAAGTGTATTCTCGACCGTCAGGTCAACATCGTCGGTGTACATGCTTGGACGGACTCAACGATTGTCCTGTCCTGGTTGGTCAATCGCCACGAATCGTTTAAAATATACGTGTCAAATCGGGTACACAGAATTAACACGCTACTACCGAGTTGCGTGTGGGCACACATTCCGTCCACGGACAACCCCGCCGATTGTGCTTCGCGCGGTGTGTTACCGTCCGAGCTTCCAGCGTTAAAGCTTTATTGGCAGGGCCCTGAGTTTCTACGTCGTTGTCCGTCATCGTGGCCGGTCGGGGCCACCATGCTGCCGCTGAGCGATTTGCCCGAAGTGCGGGTTTTGTCAGTGACCGTCGACGATCAACCTCCCGTTGTTGAATGGTTCGACGAGTTTTCGTCTTATGACAAATTGATTCGCGTTGTCGCCCGTGTGTATCGATTTATAGATCGTTGCCGCCGCCGCGCATTGGTTACGCGACGGGCGGTCCTCACCCGTTATGAACTCGACGCGGCACTTGATGCGCTGGTGATCGAGTCACAGCGTAAGTTTTTTGTACAATTACGGCACGAGTTATCTCACCGTCTCCGTGTGTCGTCCAAACCACTCGGCCGTTTATGCCCGTTTATTGATCCTTCCGGCCTCATT